ATGAATACGACCATAGTGGTTTACATAAAGACAAATCATCCCATAATCTGATAAATGTGAGAAGTACGTCTTTTATCTGACAATGTAGGTGGATTGAGCCACCACAGATTTCATAACTAAATGTTGGTGTGTCATATAAAGTTGAATAGTTTCATCTTAAATTATCAGGGAATAAAGCATCAGGTTGAGATAAAGCTAGCATTTTGTGATTTGTGATAATGTTTTTTTATTTTTTTTTAAATATTTTTTGTGCCAGGCGACAGTATTCGGACATTGAGTGTCACTGTTGTCTCTCCTGACTTTTTATTTTCTTTCTGTATGTGCAAATTGCAAGTGCTAGTGACGACACATAGTGCATTTTGCCACAGAAGTCGTATTCATGTTTGGGACTACATGACAGGGCTGTGCGCCATCTCTCTGTCAAATGGCAATTTGTAATGCGCTATCCTGGCGTCAACCAGGCCCGGTCGAACACAAGCCCTGCGAACCTTAACCAAGGTTCCCCCAAAGTCGCATTCGTTAGTGAATGAATGTCGGCCAGTGGAATTGGCCTTCCCATTGAGTCTGTGGCACACTCACCCAGGGTGGGGGTCGACCCTTTTGAGATTCAGCCTAAGGTAGAATTTGAACTTGGGTCTACCGATCATGAGTCTGATGCGACAACCACTATGCCACTACATTGTATATGTGATAATGTTTGTTTACAGGTTAAGAATTGTTCAGTGTTGATTGTTGAGGATGATGTTTATGAAGAAGAGGAGCAGTTTTTGGTTAGGTTAGGGGATCCACTTGGCAATGACTATTGTGATGCCAAAGTAGGTACCCCTAGTGAAGCTAAAATCACTATTACCAATACTGAAGATGGTAAGTTTTATTTCTGACTGATTGATTAGGTGTAGATCATGTGATCAATTTAAGTACTGTATCTCTCCATTGTGGTTTTATCCAGTGTGTTGAGTGGGTGAATATATTCAGGTCACCTAGCTTGCTTAAAACTATTTAGTTTTTTGATACAGTTATCAATAAGCTCTGTATGATAATTTTTGCTGACACCAAAATTGAGGTTATTTTGACTAATTTGAATGGTTAAAA